CGGGAAGGTTAAAAATAAATGAACGGGAATATCCAGGGATTATGCTAAGGGAAAAAATTGCCAATACCTAAAGGTTATTTACTGCATGATTCCATTCATTGAACATTTCTGAAATAGAGGACAAATTAGTGGTTTCTGGGGACTGGGATGGGAAAAGAATAGGCAGCTAACAGATATAGCTATTAAAAGGCAATAGGAGAGTCCCTGTAGTTTTGGAACTGCTCTGCCTCTTGACTGGAGTGGGGGAATACATGAAGCTCCAGAAGGGGTAAAACTACATCGTTTATACACACAAACAAGTACAAGTAAAACTGGAGAAATCTACAGAAGATCTATAGATTGTTGCGATGTCAATATCCTGGTTGTGATATAATAGAAAAACTGGGCAAAGCATACAAGGTATGTTTCTCTATTCTATTGTTTACTATAATTGTATGTTAAGTCGGCAATTGCTGTCAATAGTATTTTAAAATGGGTAGAACCAGAAGGGTTAAAATGAGAGACAGACAATACTAAATAGTAAGGCTACGGAGCAATTAGAATTCTCTTACACTTCTGGTAGAAGTATAACATGATTACATCACTCTGGTAAACTGTTTATGTATGCCTGCTCATAGGAATACACCCAACAATGCATACCGCTCACCAAAATAGAAACGTTCATGGCAGGACTGTTTATAACAGCCAACACAACAATGCCCATCAACAGAATGAATAAATTATGGTATATTCACACAATGGGCTTCTACACAGAAATAAGAAAGTACTGCTTTGTACAACTGGACAAATCCCACAGACATGATGTTTAATGAATGAAGCCAAACCCAAAAAAGACATTTCATGACTCAACAGAAAAGTAATACAGCAATCTAGCCTATTACAGGCTAAAGAAGAAAAACACATGTCATTAGATAAGCACTTAAAAATTTATCAAACCAGCCGGGCTCGGTGGCTCAGCCTGTAATCCTGCGCCTTTGGGAGGCTGAGGTGAGTGGACTGCCTGAGCCCGCGGGTTCGAGACCTGCCTGGGCAGCAAGACCTCATCTCTACAATAAATCAAAAAATCAGCCGGGTGTGGTAGCACATGCCTGTAATTCCAGCTACTCGGAAGGCTGAGGCAGAAGGATCGCCGGAGCCCAGCAGGTCGAGGCTGCGGTGGCCGGGAGCGGCCACTGCCCTTCAGTCTGGGCAACTGAGTGAGACTCCAACTCAAAAAAAAAAAATTTATCAAACCAGAGATAGAAAGGAACCTTTTAACTGGATAAAGGCAGCTAACATCATACTTAATTCTGAAAGGCTGAGTGCTTTCCCTCTAAGTGCTAGTAAAGGAAAGAATGCCTACTCTCACTGCTACTTTTTAACATGTAAGGAAATTCTGGCCAGTGTGACAAATAACAAAAAAAGGAAAAAGAGTAAGAAAGAAAGGCAACTACCTGCAGATACCACAATGAAGTATGAAGTATCAAGTATGAAGAAACTGTGGTAAGGACCTATTAAAAAGCTGGTTGCACATGGTGGCTCACACCTGTAATCCCAACACTTTGGGAGGCCAAAGCAGGAGAACTGCTTGAGCGCAAGAGTTCAAGACAGTCTAGGCAACATAGCAGGACCTCTTCTCTACAAAATACAAAAATTAACCAGATGTGGTGGTGTGGATCTGTAATCCGAGCTGCTAAGAAGGCTGAGGCAGAAGGACTTCCTGAACCCAAGAGGTAGAGGATGTGGTGAGCTGTGTCTATGCCACTGCACTCCAAGTCTCTGAGACAGTAAGACCCCAACTCCAAAAAAAAAAAAAAAAGCTACTATATAATAAGCCTCTATCTGTGGGCTCTGCATCCACTTAAACACTGATCAAAAATACTCAAAACAACCAAAATACAACAATAAAAAATACAAAACCAATACAGTATAACAACTATTTACATTGTATTAGGTATTATAAGTAATGTAGAGATAACAAAGTACAGAACAGGATGTGCATAGTTTATATGCAAATACTATGCTATTTTATACATGGGAATTCAGCATCAACAATACTAAATAGTAAGATTTTGGTATGGGGAGTTGGTTACTGAAGTATGACTACTAATAAATAGATGTAGCAAGTCAATATACAAAATCAACTATTTCTTCATGTGAGCAAACTGTATTTTTAAAAACCGTTTAATGTTGTAAAAGTATGAGCTACCTAAGGACAATTTTGACAAAATACGTGTAAAACCTGTACACTAAAATACAAGCACAGCCAAGAAAAGGAAACACCTAAATGAATGGAGAGATAGATCATGTTCATGCACTGAAGCTGTCAACTCTAAATTGATCTGTAAGTCAGACCTAGTGGCTCACGCCTGCAATCCCAGTACTTTGGGAAACAGAGACCAAGGACTGCCTGAGCCCAGGGGTTCAAGACCAGCCTGGACAACTTAATGAGACCTCATCTCCACAATAAGTCAAAAAATTTGTCAGGCATGCTGGTGCGTACCAGTAAGTTCCAGCTACTTGGAAGGCTGAGGTAGAAGGATCGCCGGAGCCCAGCAGTTTGAGGCTGTGGTAGCCATGATCATACCACTGCACTCCAGCCTGGGTGACAGAGTGAGACTGACTCAAAAAGACAAAATAAGTTCATCTGTAGATTAAACACCATTCCAATGAAAATCCTGGCAAGCTTTTTCTGTACAAAATGAGAAGGTGATTCTAAAATCCACATGCAAATGAAAATGCAAAAGAATCAAATATCGTCAAAACAGTTTTAGGGAAAAAAAAAGCTAAGTTGATTTTTACACTACCTGACTTCAAGATTTACTTACTATAAAGCTACAATAGGCTGGGAGCGGTGGCTCAAATCTGTAATCCCAGCCCTTTGGGAGGCTGAGGCAAGAGGAATGCTTGAGCTCAGGGGTTTGAGACCAGCCTGGGCAACTTGGTGAGACCTCATTTCTACAATGAATAAAAAAAAATTAGCCGGGCATGATGGCACATGCCTGGGGTTCCAGCTACTTGGAAGGCTAAGGAGAAAAGATTGCATGAGCTCAGTAGGTCAAGGTTAGAGTTGCCACTGCACTCCAGCCTGGGTGACAGGGTGAGACTCTGACTCCAAAAACAAAAAAAGTCACAACACTCATAGCACTATGATAACTGATGCAAGAATAGACATAAAAACCAATCAAAGAAAGCCTAGAAATAGACCTGTGATTGAAAGTCAGTTGATTTCAACAAATGTGCCAAAGTAATTCACTAGGAAAAGGAATTCTCAATAAATAAAACAACTGGATATACATTTAGGAAAAAAATAAATGGATATACATTTAGGGAAAAAATAAAATAAATGCTCTCACACCCTGTACAAAAATTAATTTGAACTAAATCCTAAACAAAATTTTAAGCCTTAAAAATATCCTTGGGTACCTGCATAATCAATGTTTGTATACCTAACCCTGAATTGTACCCCACATCTTTATAATTAAGAAAAAAAAGAAAACAATCCTTGAAGGAAACAGGATAAAAATCTTTGAAACCTTGAGATAGACAGATTTCTTAGGACTCAAAAAGCATGAATCAAAATGAAAACTAAATTGGACTTCATCAAAATAAAAAAGTTTTGCTCTTTTTAAGACACTTATGAAAATGAGAAGGTAAACTACAGACCAGGAGAAAATATATGCAATGCATTATCTTACAAAAGACTTGTATCTAGAATTTATGAAGAATATTCACCACACAATATGACAACCCAATGCAAAATGAGGCAAAGATTTGAAGGTGTACATTACGAAAAACATATATGAATAGATAATAAGCACATGAAAGATGCTTAGCATCATTAGTCATGAGAGAGGTATAAATTAAAAGCACTGTTAGATAACACTTCAAACCCACTAAAATTTAGGCAAAAATTTAAAAAACTAACAATACCAAGTGTTGATGAGGATGTGGAGAAACTGGAATTCTCAGAATCTTCAAAGGGTACCACTGTTTTGAGAAACATTTTGACAGTCTCTTTAAAGTTAAACATTCACTTATCATACAACCCAGTAATTCTACTTCTAAATATTTAACCAAGAAGAATGAGAAATTTCTACCAAAGATCTACATGAATGTTATAGTGGCTTCAGTCAATAGCCACAAAGTGGAAAAGACCTGAAAGTTCATTAACAGGTTAATGGATAAACATATTACAGCATATCTATGCAATGTAACACTACTCAGCAATAACAAAGAACGAATTACTGATATAAACAATAGGGTAAGAAAATCTGAAAAACCTACTGAACAAAAGCAGTCAGACACAAAAGAGTTCATACCGCTTGATTCCATTCATATCAAATTCTAGAAACACGAATATTTAGTGCAAAAAAGCAAATCAGTGATTATTCCAGCCAGGGGGACAGAGTGAAACCCCAACTCAAAAAAATGGGGTAAATTAAAGAATGAGTAAATATTGAATAAGCTAATATTAAAAAATGTATAGGAAAGTTGTAGGCCAAAATTTAAAAACATAAAGTATATTTACTGATAACAACTATGTAAAGTATGTGTATCTGTGTTGACTGACAATGATTAGAAATTAATGAGGAATGATACAACTCTAAATTCTTATTTCTGAAAGGTTGTTTAAATTCATAATAGACAAAATAAACATAAGCGCTCTCAACAGTCTATCTTAAAAACTAGCATTCTGTCTTCGATGTTGGTAACTAAATACATATTTCACAAGTTTAAGTCAAACTTAATCCTTTTGTATTGTGACTCCACACCTACTCTGTCCAATTTTATGATGAAATATACAATGTCTGACCATTAACCTGACGTGAAGCAAAAAAAAAATTTTTTTTAATAAACATACACTGTCCAATTGTTCTCAGGTCTAATGAGTCTTAAAATAAAATGACTTATGAGAAACAGGAATTCTGAAAATTCTCCACATTCAACCAAACTTCTGTGAGCACTTTGTATTCATTAACACATAACAGGCCCTGCAACTTAGTATAACATCAGCATACCTGATGCGATGACTGGATCTTTCATGAGTTCTCTAGTTATTGGACATACAAATTCATCAGGAATTCCAGAAGAAAGGGACTTAACCTTGGTCCTGAGCTCTTCAATTTTCCTCAGCAATTTACTACGCAGCCCTAGAGATTCTGAAAAGAAATTATCATTAGGGCTGGAGAATCTACTGGTAATCCTTAAGCAAGTCTTTCACAAATAGTTTACTACAACCAAAAATCTTCTGACATATTGTTTTACCACATGAAACTGTTTTCTTTATAAATTCCTTAATAATCTTTGAAGTACAGAATACTGTGTGGTTAAAATATATCAGCAACCAATAGGGAGCTTATTTTAAACAAACTTAGATTCTGAAACTTTAAGAATTTCAAGTTGCCAGATACTAATACACTCCACAAAATCAGAAAAGGCTCATTATTATTGGTGAACTTATTTATACAATGAAATTCATTTTTAAACATGTTTAACAATGTAGAGATGCCATGTTATAACATTTTAAAACTTAATGAAGTTGGATATATTTGCTGATTCATACACAAAACACAATTTTTGTTATCCAAAGTTGTATGTCCAAAACAGTATGTACAAGTTTCATAAATTCTTATTCTCAACTTTTAAAAATGTCTTTTTAATTCTAGGAGGTCTAGTATAATTAATTCTAGGAAGTTTAGTGTACCAGCTATTCACATTTTTAGAATTCTGTGATAGTTCTACTTTAGGTTGGGGTGTTTAGGGTTGGTAGAAGCAAAGAATTAAATTTCAGAGAGCCTCATAGTTTCCAGAAAAAGTCAAACCACCTTTCTTTTGGTAATTCTCCATGATGTTTATACATGTTTTAGGATACCCTCTGTCTCAGTCTTTTCAAGGATGTCTGCAAATGTCCCTGGGAGCTAAAGGCAGTATCTCCCTCCCAGTCAGAGGGCATATTTGTTTCCTGACCAGTATGTCTTTCTATTGGGCTATTTTGCGAGCAACCCTCCTATAAGACTGGGGGTGTCATAAGCTCAGGGCTCCTTAGCTATAACACAAACATAAATGGCCCCCATGAGTCTCGGGGGGAAGAGGACTCAATTAGAACATGAAGCTCATGCTGCCTGCTGTGCCATGAGTAATAAACAGTCTAAATCTGTCTGGGCTCAATGCCTGTATTTATGTACATGGCAAGTAAACCTAGCAGCTACCTGTTGCTGAGGGGCTGCTAGTCTATGACTTCTTTCTTACATAGTTCACTGAAACTAAATCGAGGATCTTTAAAACAATTTTTAAAGTGCCACAACACAAACCAAAGATTTCTTTACATGTTGAATCATTTTGCAAAAATATTTATGACTCAAAGAGAATACCTCAGATTCTTTATGAGATCACTATCCAGATTCAAGAGAAGGCTAATTCAACACAAAGTACCTAGTTAGTGAAAGTCCTTCTAAAATCCAGCACATTATCTGATCGCCACAGATAGCCTTAATGGTTCCATTCACAATGCTACATTTTCCAAGGATTAGCTAAGCTGTGTATTTTCATTTTGCCAGGAAAATACAATGGAGGTTTAAGAGGAGTTAAAATGATAGACCATTAAGGAGAAACACGAAAGTGGAGACAGATAATTTAACAAGTTGATAAGGCCAACAGATTTAAGGTTCAGATAAGATCAAGATGCACTGAGGTGGAGGTATTAGAGAATTTATTGTGACTAGGGTATAAATCTCAACATGGATATCCTATTTCCTGGGTTTTCTGGTTAACTAAGATTTTACTACAGCAAATTGGTGGTAGTAGTATCTGGCTACTATGTTTATTAGAGCATGACATCAAAATTCAAAACGTTTTTTATAAGATCTGGTGTCCAAAATACTTAATAACTCTTATGAAATAAGAATAAAAGGCAAATAACCCATTTAAAAATGACAAAAGGCTCTGAATAGACACTTCTCCAAAGAAGCTATATAAGTGGCCAGTAAGCACTTGAAAAGTGCCCCATGTCATTAGGTAAATGCAAACCAAAACCATTACGAAATACCAATCACAATTACTAGAGTGGCTATAATCAAGAAGATGGATAATAGTGTTGTGCTAGAATATTTAGAGGAAACTTTTTTTTTTTTTGTCTCACTCTGTCACCCAGACTGGAATGCGGTGGCCGCTC